TTTTTTCTAAATATCCGTAATGATTTCTTAATTACAAGTTCTTCATCTTCTTGCGAAGGAAACATATATCAAGCAAGAAAGTAAATCTAAAATGTTAATTTCCCTTAAAGAAACATTATCAGAAAAAATTATCATTCAAAGTAAAATAATAGAGAAATAGTTGCGACAATACAAGCGCGCGAAACAGCCGTTAGCCGGAAAGACTGAACGCCTGCACGGGTCATGGAACGGATCAGCTGATCGGAGGCGCGCGCCAGAGTTTACGAGTTACGGCCGCCAATAAACCCGCCGCCGTTCGTTGTTGCTCATGCGACGTTTCATGGGTTGTAGGGTCCTGAGAAAAGGAGAAGGGAGGAAGGCACAAAAGAGAACAATATGAATGAACGATGACTGCGATCTTTACTTATCGAATAAGTTCGTCAGGAGGAATTCCCCATTTTAGGACGTGTGATTAGTATAAATTACCAGCAATTTTTTCGTTACGGTATACTATATACATCATTTTTCGAGACATTTCGTTCCGTTCAATCTATCCGTTAAATTAAGAAATTAATTTTATTTCATGAGCAACAATTTTATTATTAATTATTCGAAATTTTTTTTGTACTAATACTTGAAGAATTTTATGTTGATTTATGGAACTGTGAAAACAGGAAACTACTGAAGTTTACAATCTCGCTATTATATAAGAGTGTCGACAATAGTTTTACGACATCACAAACAGCAAAAGAATACATCTAATAAATCAATAACTCTTTTCTATTTTCTTTAAACTGAAACAACCTGAATAAAAATATCAGTAATAAAAATTTTGGTGTTCAAAAATACACGTATTACACTGAAAGATCCTAAAAAAAATGTCATGTTTTAATTTATGTGTAAGTTTAAAGGAAAGGAAAATTCCAAACAAAAAAAAATTCAATTCAATTCAATTCAAGAAAAGGAATAGATTGACAAGTCAGAGTAGATGCTTACCTGGAGGTGGGTAGGGACTCGAAGTAACGGGTTCGGGCGCTCCATAATTTCTCAAGCCGCCGTATCCATCGTGAGGAAAGGCACCTTCCGCAGCGACCATGGCAGCAGCGACCCTACCGCGATCATCCGCTGCGGATGGCGCCAGATACGGTACCCCCGCTTGCGAGTGAGGATGATGATGTCCAGCCGTGTCGACCGGATGATGATGCCTCGCCGTCGTATACGGCGCGTAATTGCACCAGCTCTGGGAGAAGCTTTGATGACAAGACGACACGGCCGGATCAGCTGCACCGGTAGCACCGGTAGTGGATCCACCGGTGGTCGACGTTGTAGTTGCCGCGCCGGCAGAGTTATAGGACTTGTAATCCGAGGTAGAACCGGCGGTACTGGCCGATCCAGCGGTAGCAGCCGCGGGCGACCAAAAAAGTCCGGTCTTCCGGTTGTCCCTGGAGGAACCGGAGGTAGAAGTAGGGTCGGCCGCCAGATTGTAATAAGTCGGGGGATTATTACCCCCGTAAGTTTGATGATGATTTAATGATTCGCCCGCCGTGGACGAGTAGTGGGAATCCTGGGGATGATGCGGACTGTAACTCCAGCCGCCTTGGGATCCTGCCGAATGAGAGTGCCGTATCACGCCCGCTGCACTTGCACCTGGTGCTCCTGATGATTCCACGCAGGCAACTTCTCCGTAAGTGGTGCCACTGCCTCCTGGAGTCGCTGTTAATCTTTTGGCGGGTATATGGAGCGGTCCAGCTGCGCTGTTGCTCGCTACCGAAGAAGCGCTTGGTGAAGTTGAACTGGCGCTCGCTGTAGGAGCCGGTGGCGCTGCCGTTGCCGATGACGCTGGTGCACCAGGTGAAGTTGGTGTTGTTGCTTGTTGATGAGAACCTGGTGTTGAGGTTGTTTGTTGAATCGATACGAGAGTCGAGGCTGTCGGTGGAACTGGCGGCGGGCTGTCCTCGTAGAGGGAACCATTCATCATGGCCCACCAGGTAGTCACCCCGGTGGAATTCCCCGCTCCGGTTGCTGTTCCCATCGGCGTGACGGAGCCAGGATGGCCCACGCCGGAGCCACATAATGGCGCGGCGTGAACATTATCGTACAGCGTCGCCGTCGAACAAGCCACGTGATCGGCGATGGTGCAGATGATGGCGGTTTATTACCGGTGTTATAACAATATTTATGCCGATGTCGGCGTCGATCGGCGTAGATAACGGTCCCGTGACCGTCGTAAGAGTTTAGTGACAATCACGAATCCACACGATGCGCAAATCGATCAAAATTTCACTCGAAATATGAAAATTGTCCCGTGGTCATTGTGATACAATGTACGGATAAATGGTGCGCGTACATAGATTATTTATATCAGTATATTCACAAGATATATCAATCGAACGACACGTTCGTAACGTTGATCATGGGAAGGTCCAGCAGCAGAAAACACGATGAATGCGTATAAATATGCCGATCGTGTTGGTCCGTGGATTCACGGTGTAAATAAAGAAAGCGCGTGTAGAAGATAGCGAAGGAGCAAAAGGAAGCGGGTGGGGATAGAGGGAAAATCGTACAGTATGCGCGATGAGGGGTTGGTGGCGGGAGAGAGGGTGTGCAGCGCCGCAGCAGACAGGTGGAGGGGTAGAAACGTAGGACGGGAAAGTAAGAAAAGGCACGGGTAGCGCGAAGGATAGACAAGTTACAATAAAATAGCGTAGCGAATCCGCCGACGAGAAGAAATCCACACGTAACGACGGGGACACAGCGTGTCGATGATGACGACAATGTTAACGATGACGGGTAGGATGATCGATATAACAGCAGCGAGCAAGCCACGTGTGAATGTCGCCGATGTAGATTCAATTAGTAGTTCGTGCAGATATGCGGTCGTCCAATCCAACGATGCGGGGGATGAGGGTTGAAACGAAAACAAAATGACACAGCGCTATTTAGTGATAATGTTCGACATCGTACGAACCGCAATAGTTCGGAGCGGCGATAGCGCTCAATCAATGCGCGTTAAAACAAAAAAAACGTTGAAACCAATGCGCAGTTTTGAATGCAAGCACTAATGTTATAACACTTGGCAATCGTCGACCCTCTCTCGGTAGACTAGCACTGCGCGACTAACTCGCTATGATCGTCCCATATACATGGCCTACCACCATATACAAGCCGTAATACGTCGCTCCGTCTCTATTACCCGCGACTACTGTCATCCCCATCGCGAAAGGATTTCTAACGCGGTTCATCAAACGCGTTCTAACGTTCACGAGCGTTAAACGTCACAGTCTAATCACAGTCCAATCACTCACTAAGGTCAAAAATTCGAGCATTAAAAATCTCAAGTCCTCAAGTGAAATTGTCTAAGAAGAGAAAAAAAGTTTTCTCGATCAAAGCTGCATTCCTTATTTCTCTCGTGTTTCGTTCTTAAGTTAATCAAGTCAAGTAGAAGCACCCCTTAATGATAAATGTAATACAGCCGAAGGATTCTCGGCAGGTAGTAAAATGCTTCTTCAGTTTCGAGGATTGTGCGTTGATACACACACGCACGATGTGTTCACACACATATATATGGAATAACCCCCTTTCTTCCTGCTGGCCTCGCTGAGCCGAACTGAGCGTCAACTGAGCGCTCTGCCCGCGGCTTGGAGTCGAACGGGCCGAAAGCGACGTGAGCGCGATCTCTCGGATCGTTTGGCAAGCGAAGCCCGGACGGACTCGTTGTCTCCCACCCTCTTCTCGCGGCCGCTTCTCTCTCTCGCGCGCCTTCCTTCGTGCTCTTTCCCCACTCTCCCTACCACGCGCGCTCTAATCTGCTTTTCTTCCTCTTCTCCGCCGTCGCAAGCCAGCGAGCGCAACATACCGACTATTTTATGCGGAGAAGCTACCCTTCTTGGCTTTCGACGGGCATTGTCAACTATCGAATCTCTATCGCCGTTTCTTCTCGAGAATATATAATCGTGTGCGACGAACGGGGAAAATAATTACAAACCAAAACTGGACAACGATTATTTGCAATTGTTTAATAGAAAACCGTACTTGCTAGATACCGTT